TACGTTAAAACGCGTTGCTCTGATACGAACTTGTTAAAATCCATTTTAAGAAAAAAATCTACGCGTTGTTATCCGTTTTCGTGATAGTTTTTACAAGTTATTTCACGTTCTAAATTGTTGATACATTTTAACGCGATAATTTCGCATAAAAAACTCGTTTTATTTGTTTGTTCTGTAACTAGTTTTAGTACGTTGAAATTTAAATCGTTATATCTTGTTTTTTAACAGGATTTAACGCGTTCATACCGACATACTACTTCATGACAATTAAAACAGAGAATTTTCATTTGGAGAAATCAGGCTTATTTTAGCATCTGTATAGCATGTACGAAGGTATTTATACGTTAAACTGATTCCTCAACAAGATCCAGCAGTGTTCACATTTCCGAAAAGGATATTACAGAAATTTTCATAATTTTTTTTTGAAAATCTGAACATGCTTCTGTCAAAGACAAATTTAAACGACTTCATATTATTATTTAATAGCGATGAGAAAAAAAATAGGGTGAGTGAATGTTTTATTTAGAACAAGAAATAAAATCGCAGTAAAGAGTTAAAGACAAATATTTACGTGGATTCTAAAACATTAGGAAATATCTGAAATCCACATATCAAACGCGAATTCTCATCAATTCGATATGCAACTTTTCTTTTGATAAATTCAAATTTCAAAGAAATAGTCTCTCGTGGCATAGGAAGAGTAGCATCAATATATAAATCATTAATGTATTCTATGTTATCCAGTTTAAAAGAATCACAACCATTGATGTTTGCTTTGTCAATTATAAATATAATTTCATCAGTTGTTTTTAATTTTACAATACCAACAATTATACCAAGATGAAGTGTATTGGATTGATCCGAATAGATTACAGCCGAATCATCCACCTGATTAGTACCTGAACGATGAATTCGGAATGGTATTTCCTGATAAAAACATAATGAATGGTGTGTGTATTGTTGACCACCATAAGTAGTATTAAGATAAACGAGCACGTGTGAAAACATGATGGGTGTGGCTCGACCAACATGAAGACCACCATTTTGATTTTCGTAAGTTGGAATGGCATACTTCTTTGATGCAAGGATTTGCTTTATCAACAATTTTATTCTTGGATGAAATGAAGGTTGCTGGAGAATCGTTGTTGCTTGTATTATATACTCAAGGTTATTTACCAATTCTGTTAACACTAACGATGTACCATGTATGGATTTTACAATTGCTCCTAATTAATGCAAAAGATATGGCAAAGAGTTTCAATAAAAGCCTATATCTCAATAAGAAATAGTGTTTATAATGTTTACTATTAACGAAATATCGATGGGCGCAAAATTTTTCAAAAAGTGCAATATTTGATTGATATTATTAAATAGAAGGATAGTTATCTATCGTTATAATATTTATCGTTTTATCTATCATTTACAACTGAGTATTTCATAAGACTACTGAAGTCTTTTCACATTGTCTAGTTCCGTAATATTTTGTCATAAAATATGTTAAAAGTTTGATTATATGCTTGCAAAGACAAACGTACGTATCAGTCTTTTTCTTAAGAAAATCTTTGAGTTTAAAATGGTCGTGACCAGGTCAAATTACGGATATGCTAAATATTCAAAAGTGAACTGAAAATTACTAAACGTACCGCAAGCTGCTTCATGACTAGGAAAATATTATCTTCTGAAGAAATGAATTGCATATATTTACCTGTAGCGCTCTCAAAATTAAACGTGCTATAATTATATAGTGGACCAAATAAAATTACACTTTGAGCAAGATGTGCAAGTGAATGTACAACAGAAACACAGTTTGATTCCTAAGAATATAAAAGCAACGATTAAAACAAAAAAAATCGAAAAATAATAATTTTACAGACTCCATATAACAATGGAAATTGTCTCAGGAATTTGTCCAACAGAATTTTGATTTGATTTGATCGTTCAGTTGTTACTGTCTGCATTTCCGAAAATATTGCGGCAAATGCTAACAGCCGAAAATGTTCGTAATATTTTTTTTTCATTATTTTTTCGAATATCCTGTAAAAAAAAATTTGAATTGATCAGACATCTAGGACAGTCACAGCTATACTTATAACCAAACAATAGTGTCATGCGAAATTCATTTGCCTTCCATACTTTGAAAAAACGTAAAGGTCGTGGTAGACGATTTGTGACAGGGTAGCAAATAGTTTGAAGTAAGATTTCAACTTCACGGAAATTTTTTCTTAACGAATATTCTGTTTTTGCAGCATCGAACCATAAATGTAACATCTTTTTCTATTATTATAAAATATATTAAAAACTAATAAAAAATTGAAAAACAATCGTAGCTCAAGAACTAACTTCATTTACTACTTCCTTGTACATTTCTAAAGTCACGTTTAAACTTTAGTTTTCAAACAATTTCAAAGACGTTGGTTTTTGTATGAGCTGAATGTCACAATATGATAGCTATATATTGAACGATATAAAGTACTAATGACTGTTTGCTTATTCTCATTTACCACCCAAGTATTAATAACTATTATCGAAAATGAGATATGACTTTGGCTTATTTATTAATCATAATATCAATTTAATTTAAAATTATTGATATGTATTCATATGTTGGTGTCATAATACTACGTCAAGGGAACACATTTCTGATAGATATAAGTCTTTTCACACTGGTAGCAAAATACTGCCAATTAAAAAAAACAAATCTTATGAGTTCTGTATTTATTTAATGCAGTTTCTATTCTGATTATAAAGCGAAATACCAATTTTTGCCTGTGTTAACTCAAATTCGATTAAATTTGCTCGATTTTATCTATATAAAGTTTACTTATATACTAATTTGCTACATATATAAATAGATTTCCAACAAAAAGGTTTAATCTTCAAGTGTCAAAAGGGAAAAGTTTCTACTTTTCTTATAGTTCTTTATGCATCATCTAAGAAAAAAACACTCACAAAAACACCACGATAAAGACCATGAAGTGAATCATAACAAAAGCTTTGTCCTATTTCAAAATATTGTAATTCACGTAAAGCACAAGGACCACGATGACCGCGTGCTTTATCTTTTGATGGATCTTTTTCATCATGGTTCTAATTAGCAGAAAGAATAAAAAAAATGTAAAATCACAGGATTAAGCCAAATAACTCACATCATCCACCATTGTTATGAATTTGTCATATAATTCATTATTTCGAAGTTTCACAGGAATGCTGTCATTTAAAACAAAGACTCTTGATCCTGAAGCATGACTAACTCCTATAAGAATACAAAAGTGTTAAATTTCAGATGACATAGGAAAATTAATAACAACTTATCGAGTGAAATAGAGATTCTCTCACCTGGAATGTAACACCATCCACAGCTAAAAAACCCGGTAGCGTCTTTGATGTTCATAATCAACGAATGTGCGGGCTTATCACATACTGCTGCAATCGTAAACGCATGAAAATGTACATATGTATTTGGTTCATCCCGGTTATTTGATAGAACAGTTACATCGAAACCAATATCTTCAAGTATTTTTAATTCATATACAATATCTTGTAGTATAATTGCATATTCTTTTTTTTTTGGTTTCTCACTTCCCGTCGAAACCGAACATATCAAGAGATTGTTTGTTTCATAACGTTTACTACGAGGAAGTTCATTGATACACGCACATGTGATCCATAAAGAACGAGAAATTCGTTTGACTAGAACACCATCATTATGAAGAGTAAGAGTAATTATTTTTCGATTTGGATGCTTTTTTTTTTCTGAAGTGATGATTTCTTGATAATGTTGAGAATTAATTATGTCGTCGCACTGATCAGATGTATATGTGGGGGATATGAGCTTTTCTCGCTCTACGATAGAATTAATCTGAGAAACAAGTGGAAAAGTGAAGACAGATGTTGGTGTTCGCATATAAGATGAAGCAAATTCACATTGATTATTCAAACATTTAGAAATATTTGAACCCTTGGAATAGCATGATGGGCAGATAACCGCATGATTACCATGAAACAATGTACTGTTATGTTTCTTCACATTTGATACTACACCACGAAAATTCTTGGGCATGTTAGGAATATTGAAAAAATTAAAAATACGACAAATATCATCCATAGCTGCTTTACTTAATGAATGTCTTTTCCAAAGAAAAATTAACATTACCGAAAGTTCAGTAGCATTAGGTGAACTATCACACATTGTTTCCTGATTAGATGAATTAGACTGAAATTGTGACGTTTTCTGCTTATTGTTATTTTCACCTGATATAAACTCATCAACATCGGCTTCAAATACATTTGAATTTGCATCGTCCTCATCAGATCGATAAAAATCATCAGATTTAATTTTATCTAAATCTTCATTATCATACACGTCTAAAAGGTTATTATCAATCTGAGACAAATAATCGTCAACAGATGTATATCGATTAATTCTTGGAATAAAAAATTGTCTTTCATTTGTGTTAAATTGATTATCATGAATTGTTGGGTCTTTCTCAACATATGAATCATTTCGTCGGTCAGAAATATGAATATCATCAATTCTATTAAGTTAAAATAACGCACACAGTACTTATGACATTAGAAGAAATGAACATACTCTATATCACTGACATCATCTACAGACATAGCTTCATTTATATCGATGTTATTTTTTTCGCGAACTCGAGATCTGTAACGACTGAATCGAGACTTTTGCTGCATAATCATTTCAATTTCTTCGTCTTCTTCACTGGTCATCGTACAATCAGAGTTATGTTCTTCAATAATTTGATATAGTCTTTTCCTAAATTTTTTCTTTTCCTAAAACAGAATTAAAGCAGTATCATTTCATTTAATATATTTAATATTTTTACTATCAACTGAAGAGTAATATCTGCTTATTACTTCCAGGTCGTTTACTGTGTACATGTACAGAAAAAGAAAAACATCGCAAATAAAATAGTAAATCTAATAAATGTTCTACGACGAAGTAGAAGTAAAACAACAGTACAAGTACAAAACGTTCGTGATAATGTTTCTATGAAAATGTACATTAATAACTACAACGATGTTTAGATAAAAGCTATATACAAATAATTTTAAAAAAAGACAGAAATAAAACGTTCATGTTAATGTGTTTTCATAAAAACAAACATTATTACTTACAACAATGTTTACATATGTTTTATACAAACAATAAGTGGAAAAGGTTTATTTGACTGTAAATCTGATTTTTCGTTCATTTTTATCTCCATATTTACATATAGATATGTCAGTTTTCTTCATCTTCATCTAAATCTTCCATAATAGAATCAATATCGATGTCGTTTTCCAAAAGTGATTCCAAGTCGTGTGCAAGTTCTTCACAATCGTCTGAATCATCATCATCATTCTGATTCATTGCTGCATCTTCATTCTGATTCATTGGCGCATCTTCAATCATTGGTACATTTCCACTTGACTTGGCATGAAAATGAGCTAATCGTAAACTTGCAGCAATATCACTACGGACTTTCTTAAAGTCCAAGTCACATCTTGGTAAACACAATCGAGCAAAAGCTAGAAAATAGAAAACATATTGTAATCATTCTTCTATTAGTATTGACAACTATATAATCCTGCTATCTAATTGGCAATAGAGAAAGTTTATTAGCTTACTATAAATATTTCGTATTGTTGATGGTGGTATATTCTTTATTGATTTAACTTCAAGTTGATCTTCACGTGTAGGACAAATTGTTCGCCAAACGTTCATCGCAATTTTATCAGGTTTAACAGCATCTTGTTGAACACGTTTAATTAATGTAGCATTCAACCCAAGTTCAGCACCAACCTGTTGAATTGTTCGTCCATCTCCCTTGTACATGTTACTGTGAGCATTCATAAATGCTGATAATTCATTCCAGAAAGGAGCACCAGGTTTAACTAAAAATAAACATGCAGATGAAATAAACTATATGCTAAAATAGCATCAAACAATAAAATTAAAATCGTCATCTCTCCTATCTTATACAATAACTCGATGGATACATTTCAAAACAAACTGTTTGAAAGAAACAAACTTTTTTATCGAAAAATATTTGATAATAAAATAAAACCGATTAGGAATTGAGATTTTCTATCTCTTAAGGTAATGAGTTTGGAAAATGCCTAGTTACAGTGGTTCAGAACTTAATTACGACATACGACGAAATATACTGATGGGAAATTCACTTAACTCGCATGTTAAAAACAAAAAAATATGCTAATGGTGATTGATCATTTTGTTTCATATTAAGATAACTTACGCATATGTGTTTCAGCCATTTTTTTCTTTTGTTTCATCACTTTCTTTAAAGCTAATTTCAAGTTGTTGACTTTATTCGTCAACTCACGATTGGTTTTCTCTAAATCCCGAAATTCACGTGAACTTCGAATATCAGCTGAACGCATTTTCAAAACCATGCTTGTTGATGGTTGAACAGCATTTGTTTGACTATTTGTATTAGAAAAATTAATAACCGAACGATTAGTATTAAAACTAAAGAATGACAAATATGATTTACAAACACAGAAACGAAAGTAGAAAATAATCATACCTGTTTATATTTTGACTTCCAATATGATTGGTTCGATTTTCATTAACAGCTGTATTTAATACTATAGTACTAAAAAAGACAAATTCATTTGAAATTCAAATAAATATCACATCATTTTCCTATGATCTTACCTTTTGGACACGTGAACTGGTTTTATTTGACCAGCATTTGCATTCAAACATGATACGTTACTAAAAGTACAAGATATATTTAGATTCCATTATTCGTTCTCTTACAAAGGAAATTGTTATCGAAAATAATGTGTAAAAAAAAGGAAGTAGAACAATTTAGTTCATATATCAATGTCCTATTGTGTGCTGCAAATTTCTGTTTTTATTTTTGGTATTGAACTGTTAACAGTCATAACCACTCTATTCATCACAGAACAGGAGTTTAGTTAAAAGACCTGTCCTTTTTTAAAAAAGCTGAAAAGAATGATACTAAGCTTGACACGATTTTCCAATCAAGCACACCATTATGAGATATCGCATGCAGATAAATTACTATTTATTTTCGACTTCAAGGTAATGTAGCAGCTTCTAGATTGAGCGGAAAATTTAGTAACGAATGCACAGAGAGTGACAATCAATTTCTATAATAAAAATTGTTTAAATTCATATCAGTTAAATTTCACTAACAAAAATGATTAACATGATGTGAAACAGCTCAGAAGTCAATGAACATCAAGTAGTGAATCTGAAAACTACCTCAAATTTGATATTGGACGATTTGTCGGAGGCTGAATCATAGTAATGTTTCGATTCATTTGTCTACAGAATATACAAAAATATTTATTTATGAATATTTAATTGCAAAATTGTCACTCACATTGACATTTGTTCATTACTTTTATCCATTGATGTTTGTGTTGAATAATGATGAGTATTAACAATTGATTTGGATTTTTCACAAATGATGGATGATTTAGATAGATTAATTTCGTTTATTGGTAATGGTTCCATTGTAGTACGACGTTGGGTAAAACCTTGATTCGCCGTTGGACAAACATCGGGATCATTTGAAGTTGTTAATGATGGATTTGTTGACGATCGTTCAGTCATCGGCAAAAAAATCAAGTTGTCAAATTCAGATAATGTGGTGCTATTTGATTTTTCTTTTTCCAATGGATCAAGTGATAAAGTTTCGTGGTCATCATGTGATGAATTTTCATCATCCA